TTTCAGAAAATTTCATACAAATGATTTCATACAAATGAATTATGTGGTCTTATGTGTCCAGCCTTTATTTAGCATGTAGCTGACATTTTGATTGCCATATCATGAAAGACTCTGAATCAGAACTTTCCTGCTAAGCTACTACTAAATTATTGATTCACAGAAACTGTGAGATGAAGAGTCTCTATTGTTATTTTTAGGTAATAAATTTTGGGGTAATTTTGGGGTAATTTATTGCACAGTAATTGATAACTAGTACACATAGGTATGTGATACTGCTGGGAAACTAAGTCCCACATTTAATGGCACACATTCAATGGGCCATTAAACCCAACCCAAAGGCACTATTAAGAGTTGTGCTGGGATCTCAAATCCAAGCAAAAAGAAAAAAAAGAGTTGTGGACATGAGAAATTATATCTTACAATTCGATTAGCATATTTTGTTAATGATACACAACTGCTACTTTTTCTAATTTTTAAAAGAAAGCCGTTTCCAAAATTAGAAGAATTTCCAATTTGTTTTTAGGTCCATGAAAAAATTTGGATGAACAAGGAAGAGATGAAATTGTGGAGAGTCAAAAGTGTGGTCTAGCTGCCCTGGTGGGCTACCAAGGAAACTTGCCATATTAGTCTGGAGTGAGTTTTGATTGATCAGAGTGGACAATAAAAGGCTCATTTGTAATTCCAGGAGACTTAATTAGCCATTTGCAATCTTCAGATAAGGCTATCAAGAATCCATTTAAAGGATTAATGAGGGAAGAGAACAGGTGGATACAGGCTTCAGATTTTGAGTTTGATACCAAGAGGAAGAAAGAGGCTCACAACGTCACAACTGTGAATGGGCCAAAACTCCATGGAATGCTGTAAAACAAGAGCCAAATGTGAAATGGTTTAAATAATGTGAATTAGTAACACTCTTGGAAACCTGCGTACAATTGTACAATTTGTTGTTTGATGATAGTTTTGACTTGGTTTCTAATGCTGCTAAGGTCAAAGATTAAGAGATTCATTTAGAATCCAGTAGTAACAATGGTTATCAGGCTTTAAAAATGAATTTGAGGGTAAAGATAAAAACTTTATGACACTTAGAAACAGCCTTCACTTCCTATGTGGCCATAATTCTCAAAACTAGTTTCTATAACACATATTTAATTTTTTTCTCCTGCAATTTAATATATATGAACATTTGGTAACATATTTGCCTTTTTTCTATGTATGAATATAACATTGAAATTTCTTCAAATTTATTACTTTAAGAGTTGTTCCAGTTTTTTTACTGAAATATTTGTTTACATGAATTAAACCTTCATGTAAAGTTTAAATATATTGTACTAACTTCTTGCTTTATACACAATTTTACTGCTACATGCTGTGTTTGCATGTACAGTATAGGAATTTTCTCAGATGTATTTGATACTGTGACATGTTTTTTAGTTGCTAGTACCAACTTAAATCTCCAATATTTGCCTCCATGGTTCATTTTTCTTTTGTTTTGTTGTCTGCTATAATATTGTTGGTGTATTTCTTTTTAGCTATGTAGCTGAGTATCTTTATTCATGGTCAGTAGTATATAATTAAATATGCAGAGTCAGTAATTTCCTAGAACTCAGTATAATGAATATAGAATACTATATTTATACGAACATGTAATACCTCCCTCTATAAAACCACTATAATATCATTTGAACACTTTTACAAATAATGAAAGGTACTTTTTTACCCCGTAACGTTTTCTCGCAAAACTGGGTGCTCTTATTTACATTCACATCTTATATGTCAGCTTATTTGTATCATAATTCAGGTACTGGAGAAACAGGGAAAATCAGATACAGATCCTGACTTGAAAGATCTAAGGCTCTGCTAGAGGAAACAGATATACAAACAATACTCACATTGCTTTGAGACATGTGATATGGTGTTTTACAGTGAAGGAAGCCTCAAAGTGTTTGGGGTGGTCAAGGAGGGTTTTACTGAATAGGTGCCTTGAGCTAACCTGCTGTTTGTCAGGTTAACAAGGGGAGGTAGGGCATTCCAGATAGAGCAAAGATCGTGAATAAAGGAAGGAAGCATAAAAGAACACAGTATACTCTGGAAACAGCATTAGCTCAGTGGGGCTGGAACCTAAGGGCATATGAGATAAGACAGGAAGATAAGGCAGAAGCCAGATTGGATGGGATTCTCAGCCAAGCTAAGGAGTTTGAACTTCAACCTACATGGAGTGGGGAGTTACTACAGGATTTTAAGCAGAGGAATTTTTCCTTTAAAAAGGATTCTCTGAACCTGTGGGTTGGCAGGCACCTGAAGTTCCAGCTACTCAGGAGGCTGAGGCTGGAGAATTAAGTATAGTCTGGGCAACAATGGGAGATGCCTCTTTTTTTATTTTTTTAAAGATGTCTCTCTTTTTTAAAAAGTATTTTAAAAAGGTTTTGCTGGCTGCAGTGTGGTGGATGGATTGGAGAGGCAAGAGGTGGAAGACAGTTTAACCATTTAGAAGGCTATGAGGGCAGTTAAATGAGAAATAATGTTTGGAATGAAGGTAATGGCAGTGGAGATGATGAGGGACATGAATTTGGGACATCAAAAAGGAATCCTTGGATATGGCGCGGGGGAGAAGGGAGGAAGAGGGAGAAAGGGAGGGAGAGAGAGAGGGATGGCAGGGGAGGGAGGAGGAGGGAGAGAGAGAGTGGGGGAGGGAGAGAGTGGGGGAGGGAGAGAGAGTGGGCGGGGAGAGGGGGTAGAGAGAGAGAGAGAATGCCCTAGGTCATTAAGAATTATTTTTCATACCTCCTGCAACTTTCTACTGAAAAGATTACCAAGGACTGACAGATCTTTGCCTCCAATCTTCCCCACCCTTCCCTTTATGTTTCAAAGTGCTACAAAGTCATCTCCCCAAAGCAGCTCTGATTATATAAACTTTTGTTCAGAAACATCTGATATACCCCCACTGCATGCAGAGTGAAATCTGGGCTTCTTGGCGCATTCAAGACTCTCTCCATAACAAGTTTTGGTAGGCCAAGAGATGGACCACTTGGATACCCTGATCTCTTGCTAAGTATTATTTACTTTCCCCACCCTATAAATCATCTGTCTGAAACATTAATCTCTGTACCTCCAACACTCCCCCCTCCATTTTCTGTACCGTATTTGCAGCATTTCTTGTCTATCTCAGCCTGTCAAAATTAAACTCAGCGTTTATGTCAGGTTATGTCTCCATAACGCCTTATCCAGGCCCTTAGTCAACATCCTTCTTCCTCTTCTGCGGTGCATAGACTTTTATATCTCAATCACAACACTTTTGGCGTTCTGCCTGGTTTTACACACAGTTGTGTCCTGGTGTCCCCTGCTGCCTTACCCTGTGACTTAAGCATAGTATGGGTTAAAAAATTTGCCATGAATTGGCCTGCGGCAGGGATCTGATCCTTGTTATCAACCACTCAACGTCTATCAGACAGTATGGAAAATCAGGCGATTCTTCTAATTCACGAAATTACCCATGAAAAAAAGTATAAAGGAGTCACCCGTCTCTAAGGGGGCTTTTTGCTGTCTAGAATAACCGTGACAAAAAGTGGGAGCAAAATAATTAGCTGTCAGGGGAGTACGGCTTCTCTAAATAGTTGCAAGATGCCTAAATTGTTTATGTAAAATAAATTATCTTATGTACTGCACTTTCGAAAAGACCGAAGAGATCTAAGATATCTCCAGGTGGAAATTCCTGGTGACGGGTGTCCTTCTTCTGAGGTCAACTGCACTGACCATTGCACATTGTATTCTGGACTAGGTTCAACACAGCAAAACAGGCTCGTGGCTCGTCCCCGGCGTCCAACTGCTGCGTGGCCCCGTGCGACCTACACCCCACTCCGCCCCCGCCCGCGCCCCCGTCCCCGGCCCCGGCCCCGGCCCCGGCCCCGCCCCTCGTCCCCGCCCCCGCCCTCGATCCTCCGCCCTCCGTCCTCCGTCCTCCGTCCTCCGCCCTCCGTCCGCAGCGACTGCAGCCCTGGAGGCTCCAAGGGAACTCCCGCACGTCTGCGCGCGCAATGCCGGGACCGAGGGTCGGCGCGGCGCGCGCAATTGCCTTGGAAACCACGGCGCGCGCACGCGCAAACGCGGGGCGTGGGGAAAAAGACTGAACTGAGAGCTTTGCCACGGGAGGGGGGCTCTACCTCCCGTCGACCGTCGCTCCCCCGCGGTGGGCGCGTGCGCCGGCCCGCTCCCTCGGGCGGAGCGTCCCTTGCTGCACGCTCCCAGCTCGCGCGTTCCCCCTCGTGCCCTCCCCCGCCTCACACGCACCCTTGCCCTCCTCCCGCATTTGTGCGCCGGTGCAGCAGGCAGTGGGAACATCCGGGCATTTCCGCAGCTGAGCGGCGACCCGGGCGGCGGCGGCGGTCGAGGAGCTCCCTCATGGCAGGGACGAGGCGGAGGGAAGGCGAAAGCGGGGCGAGGAGTTAAGCCGGAGCCTCCGCGGGGCGGGTTTCCGAGGGAGGCACAGAGGGAAGCGGCTCTCGCGGCCGGAGGAGGGCCGGGCGCGGGGCTCGTCGCCCCTCTCGCGCATTCTGTACAGCCCGGGCTCCGGAGATGCATCTGCATCAGGTCCTCACTGGGGCTGTCAACCCTGGAGACAACTGCTACTCCGTGGGCAGCGTCGGGGATGTCCCCTTCACGGTGAGCGGCGGCCGGGAGCCCGAGGGGAAGACCAGGATCCAGACGCGGGGGCAGGGACCTCCTGTCCAGGGCGCACGCCTCCTCAGGAGGCTGTGAGGTGTTGGTGGGCCCCACCCGTGGCCCCTTTGCAGCCTTGGGGTTTAGTTCCCCGTGGGACCGTGGGTCCTGCGTCTGGTGTAGGAAATCACCCCTTAGGGGAAAGGCTTAGGAATCCACCGCAATCTCCACCCCCAGCAAACGGGCCCGAGGTGGCTGAACTAGAAGGTTCCTCCTAGGGCGGCCCTTGGGTCTGCGGTGGAGGAAGGTGGTGGGGTCGCTGAAACCCCAGAGCGTCCGTTTCTCACCTGCTCTCGGCGTGGAGGCGAAGAGACTTGGTGTTGGTTTCGGAACGTGGAGGCGAAGAGACTTGGTGTTGGTCTCGGAGCGTGGAGGCGATGCTGCGCCTTGGCTCCCCCTGCCCGCTGTGTTAGGGCAGCTTGGAGCTGCTGGAGTCTGTGGCTTTAAGCCTAACCCTGTGTATCTCCTGATAATGCAGGATCTTAATTCCAAGAAGAAGATAAAAATTCATCCTCTGCGGCCGAAAGATTTAGCATGGAAGGGTTAGAGTGATAGTGACTTGGAGAGCTGTCTCATTTATCAGGAGGTCGTAGTTTGGCAACCCTCCTAGATAATACTTTAATCTGTAAGGTAGCCCTTTTTTTTTTTTTTTTTTTTAAATATAGTAAGGCAATGTGAAAAATTTACGACAGTGCTTGTTTGTTTGAGAAAAGTGTATGTATACATAACGTTTTAGAATCTCCTTAAAAGCTGGATGAAATAGACATGTTTCTCAAGGAGATTGGACTCATCAGTCCTTTTTGAAAATGGAAATGTTCAAACCAAGCCCTGGAGCTTTGTTTACTCACAGTCTCCCATAGATTAATATGAGTTCTTTTTTAAAGAATGAAATTTATACGTGGTCTTCCTTAAAAGGAACTGTAGGCAGCCAGACGTTTATTAAATACATTTTGTTATTGATTACCGTTCTTCTTGATAAAATTGGAAATAGCATAATGGTATGCTTTTTAGACAAGGAAAACCCTTTGATCTGATGTCTGCTTTCCAACAGTGTTTTTAAAACTGCAGAAAATAAAGCTTCAGCAAAACTGCAGAATCATTATGTAGCAGTGCATTCTGGAACAATTTATTTTTTTGACGTTTTGTGATACATTAACCCCAGAAGATTGCTTTTTAGCCACTTTAATTTTTTAGTGTAATCAACTTGGCCTAGCTCCAGTTTAGAACAAGCCCTTTAAAAATAGGGTTTGCCTGCTTTATATTGTTACGCCTATCACTATCACTGGTGTGTCATCTGTGTTTTATGTACATGTGACTTAAAAGATCCATATAGAACTGAGCTTGGTCTTCAAGTGTGTGGAGAATCTTTTGGGGATAGAGAGAAGAAATTTCCCTGTTCCCCAGTAGTGCAGATAGGAAGTTCCCCAGGGTTAGAAAGTGGGCCTCTTTCATCAAGAAACAAAGCTGGAATCTTTGGTTATAGGTATTTTCCTGCTAGAATGGTGGTGGTAGTTTTCTGCTTCCATCTGAAGTGGAGTGCTGTTTCACTGCAGGTCTGGTATGTAGAACTAAATAAACGGGTTCAGATGCAGCCTGGAAAAACCTGTGTAAGAACTGTTAGTGCTGCGCAGGTGTGGTTATGCTGTAGGCCACTTGTGACCAGATGCTTAGAGTCATTTTCAAATCTTTTTGCACCTCCCTAATTCAACCTTTCACAAAGTCTAGTTGACTCTCTGCACTCTCTACCAGATATACTCCTTTTCATGTCCTTAACCACCACCTTATTTTACAGTCTTACTTGTATTAATATGAAAGCTTTCAAAACAATTTTCTGACACTCATGTCTGATAACTTCTTCATCCTCCACACCGCTGCTAGGATAATTTTCTTCAAGTATCATTTTACCATATCACTCTTGGCTTAAGAATGTGTAGTTGTTTCTAATAGCTGTGTTACGAAATAAAAACTTGTCAAATATTCTCCATCTTTGACTTTATATTTAATTATATGTACTCCTCACTTTGGCCCCTCTGTTACATACTGATCTTCTTACTCTAACCTGCATTTTTATGTTGCAACAAGACAGTCCTTTTGGTCTTCCAAATTCGACTCAAAATTTACCTGGTTTAGGATGCCTGCCTGTGACACTGTTATTTTGGTCTTTTGACAAATGCAAATACAAACCCATTTTGCACACCACCTCATTTTAATACCTTAGTTTTGAGTGTACTGATCCAGTTATAATTTTGTCATGAACTGGAGATGACCTCTTGGGCTTTGTGAAAAACAGATTGGCAAAAAAAAAAACAAAAAACAAAAAACAAAAAACAAAAAAACAAGCTGCTTTCAAGCACTGTACAATCAACTAACAAATACCTGAATTCCTATATTTGTATAGTAAAAAGAAAAAGCAAGCTCCTCTTCGTGGAGCATGTCACTTGATTTTAGAGCAATCAGATGAAGAAGCTTTAGTTCTGGATCAGATGATTAAAAGGGCGACCAGCCAGGACTTGGAATGAAGGTCTTGTGACTTCTCATCGTGTGGGCTTTTCTTTGTAGTATTTCCTTCTTAATATCAGAGTGCCTGCTTTGGAGAGGGTGTGTAGGTGCGTAGGTGGGTTAGTGGATGGATGGAAGGCCTCCCAGCCAGACATAGTGTAGAATACTGTCTTGCAACTAACTGATGATTCTTAGCTGATGTTGTGTTTCATGGTAACCTGAGAACCTTTTCAAAATACAATACATACTTTATTTCAGAATCTAAAATTGATACATCTTTGAAGAATAGAATTGTTCTGAAAGGATTTTGAGTTTATAACATTGTAATAATTGAAAGAAATGGTGTGTTACATATTTTCCTGTGCATGGTGGGTGGCGTGATTGGTTGGCTGTGAATGACTGCTTGATGTCATGATGTCCCAGTTTGTGCACTATTGACATGGTAGTGCAGTCTGTAGTAGACAATCTCAGCTGATGTCTGTGGTTTTAGTGGTATCATGTAAGCTGTGATGCTTTTCACTTGTGTTTAGGCAGCATACAGCTGTTTTCTTAAACATTCAATTGTGATTTCGTAAATGTAGCTGTAGATACCACATTTTAAAACATCACCTTTTGAACAATTTTGTTCTTTTCAGTGTAAGATCTAGGTTTTGGAAACGTTATCCTGCAATGAGTCAAATCTCTGGTAGTTCAAAGAGATGATCTTCTCCTGTGTATGTGCTTTATTATACTTTATTTTGCCTTTAAGACATTCCTAACTACCCTTCAGTGAATGTTTTGAGGGTTTATGCAACAGATATTGTAAATTTCTCATTATTTATGTTACTACTTTTCTGAAAGATAGTCGTTGGCTATTTTTAAACTTTACTGCACATATTAAAATATTAATTGAAATAATGATCATACATGATGATTTTCAAATTAAAAATTCATTTGGCCTTAAGGTTTGCAGACTATTTTCAGATGTGGGCAGTGACTATTATTCTAGTCTGACATGATTTCAACACATTGATGAACATTTACAAAAATTAGTCATTTGCACTCTTACGGCATTTATAATATACTGGCAGAGATTAAAATGATTTGTATAATTATAAGGCAGATGGAAGAGATTGTAGTTGGGAAAACAAGAAGAGGTTTTATGGAAGATTAAGGTTTGGAAAGATAAGAACAGAAGCAAAGGAATGGCATAATACGAAGGATAAATTATTGAGTGACTGTTGTCTTTGCAAAAGTTACTTTTTAACCACAGGACTTCTTCATTAAATAATAGACACTCTTAGAATGTTGAAAAAATATAATTTTCAAACATTACCTGTAGCTTTTCAGGAAAATATACCTGGTATTCTGACATTCGATTTTTTTTTTAATTAAAGTACCAACAAAAGGTTGGAAATAAATGGAAAACCATTGATTTAAAAATTAGAAGATAATGTTGTATAACCTCTTCTATGGCATTTAGATATGTCTTAACTCTATTGTAGAATAACATTTCAGTCCTAGAGTTATGGCAACACTAAACCTTAAAAATAATCAACCAGTTTATACATTTAGCAAATGTCGAACACATAGGTGTGCTAAGCTTTGTGGATATTAAAAAAAAAAAAAAAGAATTACAAGACAGTCTTGATTTCAGGGAGTTTACTGAAGAAGTGTAGGATCCTGGTAATCTAATAGGAGAGTAAAAGACATGTACCTAATAACCACAGTAGGCCAGCGGGCTGGTGGCGGGCCACCGTGAGTCCCAGCTACTCAGGAGCTGAGGCAAGAGAAGGCGTGAACCGGAGGCGGAGCCTCGTAGTGAGCTGAGATTGTGCCACTGCACTCCTGCCTGGGCAAACAGAGCGAGACTCTGTCACTCAAAAAAAAAAAAAGAAAGAGTTAAGATAACCATGGACATTTTTAGGTGTTCAGGACTAGGGGTAGACAGCATTAAAGGAAGCCTCAGGAATCAATGGAAAAGAAATTTTGAAGAAATCTCTCTCAAA